TGGTTCACCCTCCCAAAGGAGGGATCGCCCATTCTCTCAGGAAGAAGTGTGGTGTTGGCGCTTGGTTTTATGTAGCTGCCGTTTATCGGGCTGGAGATGCTCCCTCCTGTCCCTCGTTTGTTGAGCCTCGTTATCGTTAGCGTGAGAAAGCGTTGGGTTTCATCGGCTGCTCTTTGGGCGTCTACTGAGGTGATCACCTGAGGGTTTTTTCTCCTCTATTTTGTCAGCACAGCCTATTACATGGATTGATTTTTAAGATGATAACCAACCTTGCATTCTGAGGATAAATCCCACCTTGTCGTGGTGTGGAATCCTGTTTGTGTATTGCTGGATTCAGGTTGTAGTATTGTGAGGACTGTTGCATTGGTACTCTTGAGACATGTTAGTCCCTGGTTTCCTTGTGGTGGCTTCATCTGGCTTTGGTATCTAGGTAACAAAGATTTTGAGTTGAATGTGTTCCCTCTTGCTCTTCTGTTTTTTAGAAGAGTTTTAAAGAATTGATATTAATACTTCTTAAAACATTTGATAGAACTAATTTGAAAAGCTGTCTGGTCCTGGGTTGTGTGTGTGTGTGTGTGTGTGTGTGTGTGTGTAAAAAGTTTTAAAATTGCTGACTAATTTCTTTCCTTATTGTAGGTATCTGATTTTACTGCTTTTTCCCTTTAAGCCCTAAATATTCCTTCTTTTAGTCATTCAAGAAATATTTATTGAGTATCTGTCACATACAGATCCTGGTTTTGGTACACAGAGGTTACAACAGTAAATCTAGGCCGGCACCGTGGCTCACTTGGTTAATCCTCTGCCTGCGGTGCCGGCACCCCAGGTTCTAGTCCTGGTTGGGGCGCCAGGTACTAGTCCCGGTTGCTCCTCTTCCAGTCCAGCTTTCTGCTGAGGCCCAAGAGTGCAGTGGAGGATGGCCCAAGTGCTTGGGCCCTGCACCCCATGGGAGACCAGGAGAAGCACCTGGCTCCTGGCTTCGGATCAGCTCAGCGCCAGCCATGGCAGCCATTGCGGCCATTAAGGGAGTGAACCAACGAAAGAAAGACCTTTCTCTCTGTCTCTCTCTCTCTCACACTGTCTATAACTCTCTCTGTGTCTCTCTCTCTCTCACTGTCCAACTCTGCCTGGCAAAAAAATAAAAAAAAAAAAAAAACACAATCTAACAATAGTCCTTGGAGCTGGGTTTCTCATATTCTTTCTCATGTGTGTATATTTTTGTTTGTTTATATTAATATTCCTTGCAAAAATATTGCCACTTGCAATTGGTGGAGAAAGGAAATTTTGGGTTTGCCATGTAAATTGTCATAGTATAATATATAAATTCTTACATGTTTGCCGGCACTGTGACTCACTAGGCAAATCCTCCACTTGCAGTGCCGGCACCTCGGGTTCTAGTCCCGGTTGCTCCTCTTCCAGTCCAGCTCTCTGCTGTGTCCCAGGAGGGCAGTGGAGGATGGCCCAAGTCCTTGGGCCCTGCACCCGCATGGGAGACCGGGAGGAAGCACCTGGCTCCTGGCTTCGGATCGGCATGACAGCAGGAGCGGCCATTGGGGGGTGAACCAATGGAAAAGGAAGACCTTTCTCTCTGTCTGTCTCTCTCACTGTCTAACTCTACCTGTCCAAAAAAAAAAAAAAAAAAAAAAAAAAAAGATTAAAAAAACTTATATGTTCTTGAAGACAATTGTATACACGAGAGCTGGGATATACTATTATTATTTTTATTACAATCACAGTCTATATTGGCACTTGCCCTTGGCATTACAACAAAGGCTTGATTTGTTGCAAACCCCAAAACCTGAGCCCACTCACCCGGTGGACAACAAGCCAGTCTCTGACACCAGAGTGGCGAAACGAAGTCCGTATGTACTTTTGCAAAGCCTGGAGGAAGGAGCACAGGCAGCCGTCACTGACTTGCCGGATTCCACAAGGGTAGTAGGAATCTTCCAGACCGAAGCTGGGGTTCAGAGGTGTGCCTTCAGCCTGCGTGCAGGTCTCGGCTGGCTTATAGGGCTCGCGCCCTTCCCTTGATGGGTCAGCAATAGCATGGCCGTTGTGTTCTTTTGAGAATTTTGCTGATGGCAGATTGGGCTCCAGCCTGTCTGGGTGCCCTGTGTAGTGGCTGTTACATTGTTTACTCAGGGCGTGGGTGCCTCTAAAAAAGTCCCTCGAGACAGGCCCACCATCAAGATATTATCTAGAGAGGAGACAAGTGGACTCTTGGGTCCTGTAATCTGGGACCCTCTGGGGCCAGCTGAGCCTAACGCACCTCTCCCTCAATCCAGTGAGTCAGACTTTCGTAAGAAGTTGACTTGCAGGGCAAAGAAAGGTTCAGGTAGGGAGACTAAGAGACCAGGACCTGAGACGTCTACATCAGTAAAGAATAAATGAATAAATGAGCCCGTATTGATAACCATCCGCAGAGCCGTGCAGTGCCGTCCTCTGTGCGACCTCAGGAGGAGCAAGTGTCCAGTCCCAGGGCTGCTGCGGTGGGTGAAGCAGCGGAGCTCCCGCCTGGCCGTCACAGGAGACACGGATGGGGAGGGGTCCTTCCTGCCCGCCCTGGCATCTGACGGCAGCCCCTTGCCTTGCAGCTGCGTCGCTGCTGTCCCTGCCTGGGTCTTAGTGCCCTCCCTGTGTGTCTCTGCCTTCACCTGGTGGATTCTGCGTACATAGTGGGTTGGAGCCTGCTCTGACGACCTCTTAGCTTGAGTACATCTACAGAGACATCAGGGGCGAGAACTTCAACGTTGCCTTTTTGGGAACAGAATTGAACCCGCAGCAGCATCAGTCTCGAATGCTGAGATCTTGAGTGGAAGCCTCATTTTAATGATGTGACCAATCTTAATAGCCTTTATGGAAGTTTAGTACATGTGTGTCTCTAGAAATCATAATCTCTCCCCGTTATACGGTAACCCTGAAGGTGTCTCAAACACACACACACACACACACACACACACGTGAGTTTCCTCTTCTTCTGGGTGTAAATGCTGGACACTCAACAGAGATAAGCAGTTCCATACCATGGCTTGCAAGAGATGTTTGAAAGTCGCATCTCTCAAATCACAGTGTGTCCACCCCTAAAGTCAAACAGGACTGCTGTGGGCGGCGGGGCCCCTGGCTGTGCTTATCCCAGGCTCTTTCTCCACCTGTGAGAGAGCCCGCGGTGGAGCGTAGAGCTGTGTAGGAAGGGAAAGCAGGACCCGTCTGAAGCAAAGGAGAAGCACACACTTAAGACTCAAATGTGGGTGCGTGTGCACAAGAGGGTGAACAAAAACCGAAGAAGCTTTGGGCCGTCCTTCTATACTGTTGGGAGGCATAGGGGGTGATGTCTGGGGTGGGGCCTCATTGAGCATTGAAATGAGATGGAGTTTGGGGAGGGGCTTGATCATCACCCATTTCAGAAATATCGAAGGCATCAGGTGCATGATGGGAGTGAGAGAGCTGGCCATGGTAATTCTGTCACAATGACCTGAAGGTCATCGCAAGGACAGAGTCTGCAGCCATGCTGGGTATCTCCAGCTGGCACTGGTTCTGAATGGGCAGCTTGGCGGAATTTGTGTGCAAGGGGCAGGCTTGGTGGTACGTGGAAGCGGGGTTTGGGCAGTGCACAGAGAGGAGCTTTCATGGTGTAGACTGGGTTGTCACAGCGTGGGGCTGCGCGCTGGGCTGCTCACAGTGGGCTGGGGGGTGCTCTTATGCCAGAAGTCCCCACTACCACAGAGGTTGGCTGGGCTGTCGGACCTCAGGTCCTCTCTCTAGCCTCAGGATCACAGAACAATGTCACTTTGGAGCAGAGTTTAAAATCCAGGATCTCCCTGGGCCCTGTCTGCTGGTCCCATTGCTAGTCTTAATTCCGTATTTGATAATGCTCCTGTTTTCTTTATCCGTAAGTGCTGTTCCCTCTCTGTGTCTCACTGTAAGTATATTTGACCATCCCTCATCCCATGGTATTCTGATGTGGTGAACACAGTGGAACCAGGGGAGGGGCTAGAGAATCTGGATCTTTTTAACCTGAGCCTGTTACCGCAGAAGCAAGGGTTCTTCTTGTCTTCAAACAAGAAAGAATTCAGGCGTGAGACAGAGAGTAAGTGGAAACCAAATAGCAAGGTTTATTAGGGCAGGGACATCCATAAGAACAGACGGGCACCTCTCCAGACAGAACCTGAGAGAGAGCGCCCAGTCGCTCAGACTGGGGGAGAACGAGGTTACATGGTTGAGTGGAGAGAACACACCTGGCCAGGCCAGGCAGGCGGGTCAGCAGAGAGGCAGAGGGCTGTGCGCGCAGTCCGGTTGAGGCCGGGGGGGTTTTAAGGGGTTGGGTCTTGCCTCCCCACCTCTGCTCCTCCTGGAACAAAGGACTTTTTGGATATAAATACGAAAATTCCTTTCTGAGTTTCCCCCTGAAGTTATCACACAGGAGGAAGCCTGGCTGGCGTCACCCCCAGTTAGAGGAAGGATGGTTATCGGGTAGAGGAAGGATGGTTATCGGGTAGAGGAAGGTTGGTTATCGGGTAGAAGGGGCAGGACATTTGAAGTGCAGATACTGGGTGCCCCTGGAAGGTTATCAGGCAGAAGGGGCAGGGACCCCCACCTGGCAGGTTATGGGGTAGAAGGGGCAGGGCAGGATGCAGATACTGGGTGCCCCTGGAAGGTTATCAGGATGACTTTGAGATGTGGATGCTGGACCCAGATGTCTCCTTAGGCCTTTGTCACACACACAAGCTCATATCTGACTTCCTACCTAACAAGCCCAAACTCATGCTCTACTCCTGTGGCAGAGAAACACTGAGGCAGTGTTCATGTAGGCTGCTCCCCCAAGTCTTGGACTCACTTTCGATGTTTAGGTATTTTTTTTCCATTGTTACTTTCCTATTTTGAATTAAAGTACTGACCAATTCTCACATGCCCCCGGCTCCCTCTCTCCTCCTTGCTCCAGTTTCAATTATGAAATGAGATTGCAAACTTAATTATTCTCTTTTCTTTCTTTTGAAACAATGCAGGGCAGTCCAGAGCAGCCATGATACCTCCCAAGCACCCCCGGCAGCCCAAGGGCGCTCTGGACGATGCCATCGCCTTTGGGGGAAAAGCAGACCAAGAAGCCCCTAATATTTCCCACCCTACACCACCCCCACTGCCAAAGAAGATGATCATCAGAGCCAACACAGAGCCAATCTCCAAAGAACTCCAGAAATCCATGGAGAGCAGCCTTTGTGTCCTGGCTAACCCCACCTATGATATCGACCCCAACTGGGATGCCAGCAGCGCTGGCTCCTCCGTCAGCTATGAACTCAAGGGGCTGGACATTGAGTCTTGTGACTCCTTGGAGAGACCTCTGCACAGGGAGAGACCCGTCCCCTCGGCCGCAAACAGCGTCTCCAGCTTGACCGCTCTCAGTATTAAGGACCGGTTTTCCAACAGCACGGAGTCCCTGTCCAGCCGACGGGGTCCCTCCTCTAGACAGGGCCGAGGCATCCAGAAGCCACAGAGACAAGCACTTTACCGAGGACTGGAGAATCGGGAGGAAGTGGTGGGCAAAATCCGCAGCCTTCACACGGACGCCTTGAAGAAGCTGGCCGCTCAGTGTGAAGACCTCTTCATGGCTGGCCAGAAAGACCAGCTCCGTTTTGGGGTGGACAGCTGGTCAGACTTCCGGCTAACCAGCGACAAGCCGTGCTGCGAGGCAGGCGATGCTGTTTACTACACCGCCTCCTATGCGAAGGATCCGCTGAGTAACTACGCGGTCAAGGTAGGACATTTTGTAAATCTCGTCTTGCTCTTAACCCACCGGCCGTGACTGGGATGAGTCCATTCTTCTCTCCTCCAAAGCCAGATCTGGTTACTGCTCCACAGTGAACGCTGTAATAGTCAAGGGGCTTATTCATTCTTTGGAGGAGAAAACAGAGACAGAGTTACGCCCTGTCCTGTGTGCGAAGGTAGAGGGAAACGGTAATTGCTCTGGGGCTTGGCAGGACCACAGCCCAGACTCTGGGAGCGAGAGAAGGCTTCTTAAGTAGGTAATCCCTTGGCTGAGACTGTCGACAGGGCCACCTACAAACTCGAGGGCTGCGGTGAATCTTGCACTCCGAGTTTTTGTCTTGATTCTCCACCAGTTAGAGACCCTTGTCTACCCGTGCTCATTAAGTCATTTGCCTCCAGGAGAAACCTGTGTTTGTTGATGTGCCGGGAACAGCTTTACCTTTTGTAGTTGAATCTTCACATAGCTCCCTGGGGTGAAGATCTTTTTCCCCATTGGACAGATGAGGGGAATGAAGCGCAGAGGGCTGTGCTAAGCTGCTTAGGGTCACACAGCGAAGTGGGCATTTAAACACAGGTATCCCTGACTCGGCCGCCTGCCCTTCAGCCCTTGTGTCCTGCATCTGTCCCACTCGTTCGAGACAACCCAGTGCTTCAGACGACCAGAACTCTTGACATGGAGACTTCTCACCCAGTTATAGGCACCGCGACATCAGGCTGTAGGTCTCATCAGTGTAATAAATACAGCATGGACTGGGGAGACCCAAAGAGTTGGGTTCAGATCCTGGCTCTACTTTGTAGATTTGTCAGTGCCCATGCTGTAACTAACACAGGGCAACAAAATGAAGATACCAGAGCAAAGCGTTGGGTGTCCCTAATACCTGCCCATTTCTGTCACTGCCCGTGAACTTCCCTAGGCTACTTTAAGAGAGTAACCACGTTGGGTGTCTCCTCCTCTTTGAGTTGTTTACAGTGATAATCCATCTACTTTATAGGACTGCAATAGAATCAAGTGAGATATTGCAAGAGAAAGGGTTGTGAAAGTGTAAAGCTCTCTGTAGACTTAAGGTAATGTCTGCCTCTTTGTACTGATTCTATTCACTGGTTCAAAACCAATTAACATATCTAAATGACTTTTACATGTTAATTTGGCTTGGAAAGACAGATGGTATCCTAGTAAATTAATGGGTAAGGTAAACAATTGGCCTTACCTGTCTCTCACGACAGAATTTATGTTCGGCCAGACCTTCAGCTAGCTGCTCTGTGTGGCTGCAGCACCCACACCCTGTGACTGTCTGGAGGCACTGACTGGCGGGGTGAGCCCATGTGCCACCACTCTCTTTTTAAAATAAACGGAGAGGCAGACAGCACAGAGGGCCTGGGTTCGAGTTCATGTATTACTGTTAAATCTAAAGCAGCATTTTGAGATTCTGTGTGGCCCTCAAGAGCTGTTATCTCACTTGGGATTACAGTGTCTTAACTATCGTGGGTGGGCCTTTACTGCTACAAGATCCCCAATGCAGGGCAAGTGCCTCTCTCAGAAAGGGGCGGTGAGCTATCCGATCTTTCTAAACAATTGAGAAGCCGGGCTTGACCAACTTTATGTATTATTGCCATGCAATCTTGTCTTTTTCCCCAAATCAATGGTCTGGTATTGATTTCTTCGCTTGTAATGATGCAAAAGCAATCTCCAAAGAACAGGTGGCAAGTGGTAATATACTGGCAGTTGTTGGCAGATTTGGGAAAAGATGTTTTAGACTAAACGCTGAATATAAATGTCTCTCTGAAGACCCTCTGGGTGTTTCCAGAAGTGCCCGATTGATTGTACAAATACAGTCTTAGATAGTGAACCACTAGGACGCTGCAAACCTTGCCTCTGCGGAAATAAGCGAAGGGATGAGCAGCTGGCCCAAGAGCTCGCTGCACTGCTTGTCCCTGAAAACACCCCTTCCCTTCTCCTGGGATTCAGAGTGGGCTAAGGGTGCGGCTGTCTCCTGGAGAGACTGAGAGGTCTTCTACATGTCGCAGGGGGCTCCCGGTGCTCGAGTTGAGCAGTTTGAAAGCCAAAAGACACTACTCCTGCCCCTGAAGTACCAAATCCCTTCCAATCATAGAAAAAATATTTCCTGTGTGTTGTCTTAGTCTGCTCAGGCTGCCATAACAAAATACTCTGGATTACATGGCCGAAACAACAGAACTTTCTTTTCTTGTGTTTCTGGAGGCCAACAAGCCCAAGATCAAGGTTCCAGTTTATCTGGTTGCTGGTGAGGGCTCCAGAAATCTGATTTGTGGGCAGCCATCTTCTCTCTGTGTCCTCACATGCTTTGGGGGCGGAGGAGAGAGGAAGAAAGAGAGCTAGTTAGCTCTCTGGTGTCTCTTCTTATGAGAACACCAGTCCTATCACTTCAGGGCCCCAGTATGATGGCCTTCTTTAAAAAAAAAAAAGATTATTTATTTATTTGTGTATTTATTTATTTATTTGAGAGGCAGAGTTATAGAGAGGCAGAGAAAGAGAGAGAGTCTTCCATCTGCTGGTTCACTCCCCAAATGGCCGCCACAGCTGGAGCTGTACTGATCTGAAGCCAGGAGCTTTTTCAGGTCTCCCACACAGGTGCAGGGTCCCAAGGACTTGAGCCCTCTTCCACTGCTTTCCCAGGCCATATCAGAGAGCTGGATCGGTTCCAGCGCCCATATGGGATGCCAGCGCTGCAGGCAGCGGCTTTACCCGCTACACCACAGCGCTGGCCCCTGTGATGAGCTTCTGAACCTTATTTACCTTTGTGTAGGCCCACTCTCTGTATACAGTCACATGTTAGGGGTAAGAGCTTCAACATACTTATTTGAGGGACAGAGCATTCTGCCCCAGCCCTCCATTTCCCCAGATTCCTGTCCTTATCATTTACGAAACACATCCCAACAGCCTCCAAAACCTTAACTCACTCAGGCATAAATTCTGAAACCTGAAGTCTGATCTGAATCAAATACGAATGAGATTCAAGCTATGACTCATCCCAGGGCAGAATTCCTCCCCAGCTACGAACCTGGGAAACCAGACAAGTTATGTGCTTCCTGCAAAACACAGCTGCGAGCAGGCATAGGGTAGACGTTTCCCTTCCAAGAAGAAAAATCAGGAGGACGGAAGGAAGGGGGGGGTGATAGATCTGAAGCAAGATCGAAACCTGGTAGCAAGTCAGATTGTGTGAAATCCCAAAGCTTGGGACAGGCTGGCACAGCAGGTTAAGCTGCCTCCCGGGATGCGTGCACCCCCATTGGAGTGCCTGGGGTTCAGTGCGCTTCTCCTGATGCTCCTGGGAGGCACCGGAGGGTGGCCCTAACAGTTGAGGTCCTGCCGCCCATGTGGGAGACCCAGATGGAGTCTCTGGCTGATACCGTCCATGAGTCCCACGCATGATCTTTTTATCAAACAGCTGTGTCGGTACGCCCTGAGTGTTCTCTGCAGAGCACGCTTTCACACTTTTTTGCATTATGGGTAACCCGAGCATTTTGCAAGTCTTCAAGTTCTGGTCCCTTTTGATTAACAATTCCCTCTTCAACTCATCTTTCTCCTTTTGCATTTGTCTGTAAGCACTCAGGAGGATCCAAGCCACTCCTCCAACACATTGCTTAGCAATCTCTTCAACTACAAGCCGATTTCAGGGCCAGCATTGCAGGGTGCCGTATCCCACAGCAGAGTGCAGATTCGAGGCCAGCTACTGTGCTGCTCACCCAGCTTCCTCTTCATGCCCCTGGGAAGGCAGCAGCAGAAGCCTAAGTACTTGAGCCCCGACAATCCGCGTGGGAGCCCTGCGTGGAGTTCCAGCTCCTGGCTTTGGCCTGGCACAGACTTGGCTGGTGTAGCCATTTGGTTAGTGAACCAGTGGATGGAAATGCATGCTTTCTCCCTCTCTCTCTCTCTCCCTCTCTCTCCCTCTCTCTTCCTCTCTCTCTCTCATAACTCTGCCTTTCAAATAAATAAATTTTTATAAGATTCTATTTCATCTCTTTTAGGTCCTATTTCTCATGAAACGCTAGAACACAGCTCAGCCGAGATTTTGCCACTTTATGACAAGAATCCCCTTTCTTCCAGCTGCCAGTAACGTAGTCCTCATGTCCATCAGAGGCCTCACCAGAATTGCCCTTAACAGCCACAGTTCTAGCACCTGCCTGTCCTGGTTCTCTGACATGCACCTCCAGCTCTTGGAGCCTCTGGTGCCAAAGCAGCTCCTGCATCTGTAGATAATTGTCATAATAGCACCCTTGTCTCATCATCAAAATCCACTGGGTTGCCATAACAAAATCTCATAATAAAAATAAATAAATAAAACAGAAATCCATGTCCTTCCAGTTCTGGGAGTGAGAAAGCCGAAGATCAGGGTTCTGGCTGCTCTGGTTTCTGGCGAAAGCTCTCTTCCTGGCTTGCACTTGGCTGCCTTCTCCCTGTGTCTGCACATGACAGAGTGAACGAGCTCTCTGGTGTCTCTTCTTAGGAGGGCACTGATCCCGTCGTATCAAGGCCCAACTGTTAGGACTTCACTGGACTTTAATTACCTCTTTATTGCCTTTTCCCTAAATGTAGCCATCCTGGAGGTTAGGACTTTAACACTCGAACTGGGATGTGGCAGGACACGGCTCAGTTTCTAACAGATGTTGTATGCGTCTTTGTCATAAAATGCATGGTCTGGGGCTGGTGTTGTGGCACAGCAGGTTAGGCTGCTGCCTGAGACTTGTTCGAGTCCTGGCTGATGCAGCTCCCTGCTAATGTGACTGGGAAAGCAGCAGAGGATGGCTCAAGTGCTTGGGCCCCTGCACCCTCATGGGAGACGTGGGTAGAAATTCAGGCTCCTGGCTTTGGCCTGGCCCAGCCCTGCCATTTGGAGAGTGAACTGGCAGATAGAAGATTCTCTCCCCCTCTCTCTTTAGCTCTGTCTTTCAAATAAATAAATAAATTTTTTTGAAACTGCATGGCTTTCCTGGATTTGTAGATTTTCTTTC